TTGTACATAGGGTTTTCAGAGGCCTGCTATTTCAGAAGTGGATGGCCAATCCTTCTTCCTAGTCTGTCTTAATGTGAATTTTCAGATTAAAAGATGTATTAGACAGACCAGCAAAAAATTTCACAGGTGCAACACTTCTTTGCTGTTTTGTAACTCATATTCACCAATGACAGTGTGCAAAAAAACTCCCTTACGTGAGACGAATTTAAGAAAAAACTAGAAAATAAATGCAAAGAAGGGGTCTATGACAACAAAAGGCATTTAATACAAAAAGCCTTACTCTTTAGCCTTGAATTCAAGTCTGTTCAATATATATAAGTATGAAGAGATGGTATGACTTATTAATACAGTGCTTTCTATTTGGAACATTTTCATTTCAGTAAGTGCAATTATGAATTCTTGGAATTAACTGACCATCTAGTCACTTATTTGACTATTAGAAAAACTAGTTTATTTGTTTGCATGTCCTCTGTTTTTCTCCTTGGTGGTTAGGATAATTGAAAAATGCCTCCAGGTGGGTGTAAAAATTCAAAAGCTAATAGTATAGTGGAGAAGGAAGGAGCAAGTGGAAATGAAGAAAACAATTCTGAAGGAATTAAGTAGTCAGGAGTCAGGAAAAGTGACTCGTTAAAGGTGGAAAAAATAATTGCTTACCATTTGTATAAAGCAATCATATCCATGTAGTGCTTTGACATGTACAAAAGTACATAATTATAAACAAGATGGTGGTAATAAAATGCTGTCTCTTAATTGAGAAAAACAACAGAGAAAAATGATGGAAAATAGGAAGACCCAGGCCACAAATATGCAAAGATAATTGATATATCCCCAGAAGGCAGAACAATGCCCTCTGCTTGGGAAAGCTCCCCATGACCTTGGCCAGGACTTCCATTTCCTGCCTTGTATAATCACAGCCGGCAATCAATGTTTTGTGATGAGGAGGAGGAGGATCTATGAAGAACATAATTACAGACTGTAAGTGTTTTCTGTGGAAACAAAATTATTGTTGACGTCTGAGACTCTGTAAATATGCCTTAGTTCTGGTCAATAACAATTTGAACTTTAAAATATAGGAACCCAAAGCCTCCTTATAAATCACTACTACAGGAATTAGTGTGTGAAAGACAAGACAGTCCATACTACTATTCCCCAAAACCTACACACACAAATAAAATGGGGGTGAAGGGGAAAGGCAAGATACTTAATAGAATATTCTTTTTTGTACAAGCACGGTTTGGACCATGTCCATGTCAAAACTAGCTCACATTTTTATTTTTTTTAAAGCCACATAAAAGAAGATTTAAGCAGAGCACAGCTAAAACGGTTTTCACCTACCAAGTCAGGTATAAAAATAATCATAACTCACATTACCTGCAAAAGACTGGCAAACTTACAGAAACTAATGGCGTGTCACACACAGATGGAAGGTGGATATATACTGAGGAGAAAGAAGAAACCAACCACATCAAGGGTGCTTGAGGAAATGCAAAGGCTTTGAAAGCTGTGAAAAATGCTCACCCTCTCTCTTACCTTTAATTGTGAGCCGGCAAGAAGTGTATTTTGCCACATGCTTTTGTGGGTGAGCGAGGGAGAGAGGCATGGTTATTTTCTTAAGTACTAACAGACTTACTTCTCTTTCAGAAAATCCACTACTCTTTTGAAGTCAGCCACGCAGTATTCTCTTTTCATTTCCATGAGCACGGTATCAGACGCAGACTGGACTGGGATGTGCAGAAATGCATAGACTCTGGGATGATTGAGGATTTTTGCCATTTCCTTAAAAAAAAACAAAAAAAAAAACCAAAGAGAAAGCATTAATCATCTGAACAAATCAGGGAAAGGTTCCACTCAGATCAACATGCTCTCGTGGAAGCAAATCAACACAGCTGAAAACAGACCTATCATCAAGGCTCTTCAAGTCAATGTCAATGGGTAATATTCATTGATGACATCTGGGGATTTAAATTACTTTTTGAATATTCCATTTATTTATTTGTTCATATTCACCATCATTCTTAGGTGATAAAACAGGTGTACGGGTGTTTGTATGCGTGCAAGTAATGCTTAAAGATTACAAAATACTTCAAAAGAAATACTGTTCCACTCTCTTCAAAGAAGTGGGGTGTTCTGTCTTGTCATACAAGAAGAAGAAATTGCAGTGAAGTTCTTTGTGTTGGAAAAGTAAAATCTGTTGCCATTAATTTGATTCCGACTCAAAGTAACATTCTAGGACAGAGAACTGGGCTCTAGTGTTTCCAAATTTATAAACATTTACACAAGTAGCCTGCCAAATGAATTGGCTGGTGGGTCCAAATTACCTTCTGTAAGCAAGCAAGCATCTTAACCACTGTACCACCAGGGTTCCTACTTTGAAAAAGAAAGTTTCCCAAATTAAGTGTTGTTGTGGTCCTTATGTGATGTGCCATTACCAAGTCTTCTATGATTCACAGTGACACTATGAACATCCCTGTTTTATCCTGAGCCCCACTCACCGTCTTGACTCACCTGACCACACTGCCATAGTTACTATATCAATCTATCTCATTCAGGATGGACAATCTCCTCCCATATGATATACTGTCTTTAAAAAGCCACTAGAGGGTCAGCTATGGGTGGTTCTGACTCGATGGCATACACCACCACCATAGCGGGGGGGGTGGGTGGGAAAGCAGTCTACAAGTCACTTGGGTTTGGTTTATTTTAAAATATATATATATATACATCCCCATTTATCTTGGATTAGTGACATATATTTTTAAAGTATCTATTAAGTGCAAGGCACAGGTCTAGACAAGGAGCTAATCAGTTCACAACTGTCAGCCTCGTCCTGTAACTTGTAGAGTTCAAATGGTGAGAAAAAGAGAGGACAGGAAGAGTACGTTATCTTGGAAAGTTAAAGGGAACACATGTGAACGAATTAAATTAGGAATCACCAAGCAAAGATTAAAAAAAAGAAGAAGAAGAAGGGGGGTGACCATGGTAAAGCTGTGGGAGCTTAAGCATTTATGCAAGCAATGAGAAAATGGATTTATTTAGCCCTTCTCCACCACTGCACGCTGTCAAGCCATTAATTTGCAAGAGGGAGAGTGCTAGCAAGCAAAGAGTTCAATAAGTGGTAAAAATGTCCAGAAATGAGCCGCTCTTTAATAACTTGCATGTGTTCGGTAATTTTTAGTTTTCAAAGCATGGATCTTTCACATTTGCTATCACATTTTATCCTTAGAAAATATTCTGAGAGATCAGATGGTGTTAAAGAGCCTGCAAGTTTCATACACAGTCACAATGTAGTGATTCTGGGGTCAGTCAGTCATATGGATCTACTATGCCTCTTGTTCCTCTAGCTTCCTTCCATTGACCTTGAATATTAGCATTTTCACAAAAGCCCAGTGGAAGAAATGGGAGCTTAACTCAAACCACTCACCTTCTTAGTAACTGAATTTGTGGATATTTTTTCCTCTATATATTCTCTACCAGGAATTAACATATTTCAGCTAACAGATGCTGCCCTGGACGTGCTCACCAAGTTGTACTAAGAAATCTGGAGAACCACCACTTGGCCAACTGACTGGAAGAGATCTATATTTGTTCCCATTCCAAAGAAAGGTGACCCAACAGAGTGTGGAAACTACAGAACAGTGTCATTGATTTCACATGCAAGCAAGATTCTACTGAAGATCAGCAGAGAACTGCCAGAAGTCCAGGCGGGTTTAGAAGGGGTTGTGGTACTAGGGATATTGTAGCTGATGTTAGATGGATCTTGGCTGAAAGCAGGGAATACAAGAAGAATGTCTATCTGTGTTTTATTGACTATGCAAAGGCGTTTGACTGTGTGGATCATAACAGACTGTGGCTGACTCTGAGAAGAATGGGAATTCCAGAACACTTGATCATGCTAATGAGAAACCTATACTTGGACCAAGAGGCAGTTGTCAGAAAAGAGCAAGGAAACACTGCATGGTTCAAAATTGTGAAGGACGTATGCAAGGTATGTGTCCTGTCTCCCTACCTTTTCAACCTGTATGCAGAACAGATTATCTGGGAGGCTGGGCTCTATGAGGAGAAATGTGAGGTCAGGATTGGTGGAAGATCTATCAACAATCTGCATTATGTAGATGACACAACCCTGATTGCTGAAACTGATTAGGACCTGAAGTGCTTGCTGCAGAGGGTCAAGGACTGCAGCCTCCAATATGGATTGAGTCGCAATATCAAGAAGACAAAGATTGTCACCACTGGGCCAATTGGCAGCATCAGGATGGATGGTGAAGAGATTGAGATTGTTCACAGCTTTAGTTTGCTTGGCTCCACAGTCAACACTCTTGGCACCAGCAGCCAGGTAATTAAAGGAATTATTGAGATAGGAAAGTCTGCTATTAGGGACCTTTCCAAAGTATTAAAGAGCAATGGTGTCTCTCTGGAGACTAAGGTGTGTCTGATACAGGCCCTCGTCTTTGCAATCACTTGTTATGCATCAGAGAGTTGGACAATGACTAAGGAAGATAGAAGGAGAATTGATGCCTTTGAGCTGTCGTGTTGGAGAAGAGTATTGAGGGTACCATGGACTGCTAGGAAAACAAACAGATTCATCCTGGAGACGGTTACACCGGGTGGCTCCTTGGAGGCAATGATTCTGAGGCTTCGTCTAACATACTTTGGACATGTTGTAAGGAGGGACTGGTCCTTGGAGAGGGACAATCATGCTTGGTCAGGTGGAGGAACAGCACAGGAGGGGATGGCCCTCTATGAGGTGGACTGATTCAGTGACTGGGGTAATCGGGATGGGTGTATCAGAGACAGTGTGATTGGCACAGGACAGAGCAGAGTTTAGGGCTATTGTACATAGGGTCGCTATGAGTCACAAACAACTTGATGGCACATAACACCACCACCAGGAATTAAAAGGCATATATGTTGTTATGTGTCATCCAGTCATCTGCAACTCACAATGACCCTAAGTACAATAGGTCTGAACTCTGGCCTATCCTGAGCCAGTCTTGACTCTGACACACCTATTCCATTACCCCAGTTACTGTGTCAATCCATTAGGGTCTTTTTATCTTGCATTGTCCCTCCACCCTTCCAAGCCTGATGTCATTCTCCAAGGACTTGTTCTTTCTGGCCACATGCCCAAAATATGTGCGACAGAGTTTCTAAATCCTTGCCTCCAAGGAGCAGCTTGGTTTTATCCTCTCCAAGGAATACATATAGTTTACACAAGTAGGAGTGGCATCCACTTCCTAAACAGCACGCCTCTGGAAACTATGAACTTCGAGAAACAACTATAATTATAGAAAGGCTTCAGGCCTTTTGCTCATGAGGTCACTATGAGTCATGCTAGACTCGATGGCAATCAACACCACCACAACTGAAATTGGTGTTAAAGAACTTCTTAAGTAGATAGATAGCTGGCAACACACAATCTGCGGATAATGTGCTATGCTTCCTGGTTAAGCACTTAGTCAACAGGCTTTTTATATTCTTATTCAACACACACTGTACATAAAACTGAAGTGGAGAAACATTTACTAGTGTGTACCCACCATAAAAACACATGATTCCCATGCTTTCAGGTTTCTCATTTCTAAGGTTCTCTCAAAAGCTTAAGAAAAGCAATTGTACAAATAGCTGTCTTTTAAAGGGCCAGGACTCACAGGGTCTGAGAGCTTTCAGTCCGTCCACTGTGGTGAGAAATGATGCCTTAACACATAGTTGGCACCTGCTGCTGACCCAGCTCCTACTTAAAGCACAAGATACAGCTCATAGAGGTTTTACTGGCTAGTTTACGAAACAGATCTCTGGGTCTTTCACCCTAGTCCAGCTTCATCTAGGAGCTCCACTAAAACCCGTTCAATCTAAAAATAATGTGCAAGCTTTCACAACCAGTAAACCCAAACTCTCCCCTCCCAATCTCTTTTCCTCACTTAAACAAAATGGAAATAGGGATCATACCATATCATAATGAGATTAAATTAAGATAATCTATTATGTAATCTTGCCTCCAGAAACCCTATGAACTTGAAGAGAGGATGAAAAACACACAAATGTTGAGGACTTTCCTTCATAGGGTCGCTATGAGTTGCCTGAAACTTGACGGCACTTAACAACAATAACATCAACATAGAGAGAGAGATCAGTTGGCCCAGTGGACAGAAAGCGATGCTACCAAACCAAAGGTGGGTAACTTTTAATCCACGGCCCTCAGGCCTATCTTTCATTATATTTGTTCAGACATTCCTCTAGGTCGTATAGCCCTGGCATACAAGTTGCCGTACAGCAGTAACTTGTGGTTGCTGTGAGGCTGAACACTGTGACACTGATGTGTGTCAAATGCCTTAATGGTTGGTTACCCAATGCTGACAGAGAGTGGGCTGGAGCTCCCCGATTACAACAAGCTTGGAAGGAGGAGTGGCATCCACTTCCGTAACTGCTTGCCTCTGGAAACCCTATGAACCTGGAGAGAGGATTAAAGACACCCAAGCGTTGAGGACTCTACTTCATAGGGTCACTATGAGTCGTCTGCGACTCGATGGCATTTAACAACAACAGCAACAGTATGTAAATTGTCTAATGGCACGGAACAACAACTTGTCTAATATTATTCTTCAATATTAGTCTTCTTTGGAAAGCATTTAAAGTTCATGGTAACACAGTTTTATAGTGATTAATAGGAACCTACAAAAAAATTAGTACCAAGGAGTATTGATTGTGGATCCAAGTAATTAACATCTTTGGTACCAGCAGTGAGGAAATGAGGAGACGTATTGCACTTGGAAAAT